AATAAAATACTCTGACGACGGCGACTATGTAAAGCGTCGGCTATACGTGTCTGAGATATTGTACATGTGGAATCTGTCAGATATTGTGCGCGAACTGGGAACGAATGAGCAATGTGTTCAATATAGTGAGAACGAAGGGCTAATCCTAAAGGAAAGAAAGTGCGGCAAACATAAAATAAACATGAATATTTCATACTCAAGTGGCTGCAAATCGTTTGGTACATTCGTATGTGCTAAAGCATCCTGTAAGGGTAAAGAAGCTGGTATCTCGGAGCTGCGATTGACAAGCTCCACGGAACACCCACCTTAGAGGTTATTCATCAAGGTGTTACCGTACCGGTGCAGACGGCCGCCGGAGCCACCACCCGGGGCAAAACAAGGAGGGCGTCAGAAGAAGGGACATCCGCCCCAAAACGCGCAAAGCCTAGGCAAAAGAAGACCAAAGTAATAAGTGGGGAAGACTCCGATACAGAGCACCCCTCTGAGGGCCCTCCTCCTTCTCCATCTCCAAACCCATCCCCATCCGCTCCGCGTAGAGAGACTGGGGATCAACTGGACATATCTATTGTTTATTCGCTCCTCATGGAAGTGAGAGATAATCAAAACAAAATAATGAACATGATGAATGCATTAACTGAACGCATGGACAAAGATAGGCAAATCACGCATAACATGAACCTCAGAATAGAGAGCCTGCAGAAAGCCAGGATGCTTGGACTAACCGCCCAACCACCAACAGCAGGACAAGCCCCTTCTAGTGGGCCAACTCCTCACTCCTCAACTGAAGAAAGAGGACCAATTTTTATGTAGAGATTATATTATCCTAGCCAGTAGCATTCCACTTTTAAATTTTTCAATTTTCAACCTTTTAACATTTTTATTTTTATAATTTTTTTAATTTTTTTAAATTCTACTTGCAAATTCCTTGCTTTATATTCCTTATTCCTTAAAGGTGGAGGCAGTGGAGTTAAGATCTCACATCGACAAGGGACTTTTTTGAAAATGTATCCATTGATATGGTCCACATATATTACCTTATATATCGATACCTCCCACGTAAGTTGTTGTATGCCACAAAAATGGCGTTTGGCGTTTTTACAAAAAACTATCCTAATTTGCATTATTTAATGCATTCAAAGTGAAAAAAAAAACAAAATACGATTTTTTATGGATTTGCCAGACGTATAATGTTGTAACTTTCAAACGAGAACGGACTACAGCATTGTATAGACCTTTACAATAGCTTACGCGGGGTGCAGGGCGGGGAGAATCACGCGCCCGCGTCTCGTATTGGTCACATACAACAGACCACGCCGGACTTTCAACCGGCCGCACGCATGATGTAGGAACCGTTTAAGTTTTTTCAAAAATAACTTTATACGTAATTGAATTACTTCAAATATATAACAATGAATCGTACAAGGATAATAACAAGAGGACGTAGACTATGTGATATGGTCAATAATACGAGTAAACAAAATAGAAACTCCGAGACACCCATTTAAAATAACAATGTTTCATTAGATGAAATAGAACTAAACAGCTTTCGTGATTCAAGTCTCCGAAATATCACAGGTATATGTTTCTTTTTGTAATATTTTATTAGCATTAATAAAGTTAATGTTACTTTTTTGTCGTGATACCAACCTAAAATGGTGTATAGGTTACTTACAACAGTATACGTCGTTGAGCGTTCATAAAAAATGTTGCATGTAATACATATAACATGTTACGTTTACATTTAAATAAAAATATTGTTGTATGTAATAGATACCACATTTTACTTCGGGAGTTATTATTCAAAACTTTGTTGTATGGTGACATGCTGTATTTTACTTTGTTATTCCTTTTTCGTTTTCGATGATGTATGTCAAGTCTTTTCTAAAATTGGATCTTGCAACATTATAAAATGCCTTGCCCTGACTGACTGACTTAATGCTTCACTAACGCAGGTCGCACAGGCAACTGTGTGCGACCTGCTTTGGTGGATCGTTAAGTCAGTCAGCCAGGGTAAAGCATTTTATATGTTGGAGAGGTAAAAAGGTGTATGTCTTCCCTAAACGATGTAGGCATCAGAACATACGCGGGTTGCAATCAAATTAAAACATTAATACTATTTCAGAGTCACCATTGCCAATAAGTTTTAATGAATCTGAAATGGATGAGTTGGCAAATATCATAGATGGAAACATCTTGACAACTTAGAAGTAGCAACAGATTCTGATACTGCAAATCTTGAGACACCGCACCCTTCCCCTTCTTGTAGTATCAATCACTTGGACTACGACTGTGATAATGATTTCTTTATTATATATTATATATATTATATATTATATACAAAAAGAAAATTTATCAGCGTTCGATATTATACCTCAACCCTCACCAGCATGGATTTCTAGCTGCTCGACGTATACAACCATGAACAATAGTCCGCTGTCGGATATTTCGAATAATAGTCCCACCACAAGTGACCGCCGCCGTCGTCCATCAAGGAAAGATAAAGGTAATGTAAGAAAAAGACATTATAAAGAATGGATAGATAATAAAAGAAAGTATTTACGTAATTTGGGAAAAGAATATATTTCGAGAAAAGGTAAAATACAAGGAAGCAGAAAGATGGGCCCACCATGTCGCTGCCGCAAGAAGTGCTTTGACAAATTAAGCGAAGAACAAAGAAAGAAGATTTTTGAGAGTTTTTGGAGGTTAGGCGATCGAGAAAAGCAATGGATGTATGTGGCTAACTTAGTAAAAAAGCAAAATAAACGTAGAGTCTATACAGATACAGTTTCAAGACGTAAGTACACGTTAAAATACTTAATACCAGTAGGTCATGACAATGATAATATTAATTATGTGGATGTGTGCAAAAAAACACTTTTTAAGCACTATGTCTGTCAGTGATCAGGTTGTTTATAAGGCTCTAGAAAAGATGGATACGACAACGGGAGTACTAGTCCCAGATAAAAGAGGTAGACATTCAAACCATCCCGTAAAAAAACAGATTCGGTTATAACCAGTGCGTGTGATTACATCAAGAGCTTGCAGCCGGTTGAGTCACATTATACGAGGCAAAGGTCAAACAAATTATATTTGGATGGAGATTTAAATTTTCTTAAATTATTTGAAATGTACTATGAGTGGCTTCAGGCTAACACACAATATGAAGAGAAAGCTGAAACCGAACGTCAATATCGAGATATTGTAAATGAAAATTTTAAGCTCAGTTTTACGTGCCATGTCACATTTTTAGAAATATTGACGGTCCTACTGAATAACAAATCGCAGATCATGAAAATCATGTCACAAACAAGAAGTTATCCCGACAAATCATGAAATCTGATAAAAATGACAGCAAATCTTCACAAGGTAAAATCGTCGCAGCTACTTTTGATTTTCAAAAGATTCTTAATGCACCCCATGTCCAATTGAGTATTTTATATTACAAGCGGAAGTTGTCGGTTTTTAATTTTACTTTGTTTGATCTAGCAAATAAGGAGGGACATTGTTATATGTGGCACAAAGGAGAAGCTAAGCGTGGTTCTAATGAGGTATCAAGCTGTCTTTCTCATTTTATACAAAAAATGCATGAACAGGGTGCAAAAGAACTCAGATTCTGGTCTGACAATTGTGCCGGTCAGAACCGTAATCGCATTGTTTTTGAGTTTTATGCGTATATTGCTCATAAAATTAACATTACTATAAAACATACCTTTCTCGAAAAAGGTCATACCCAAGCAGAAGGTGACAGCGTACACGCTTTAATAGAAAGATCATCTAAAAATAAACTTATATATACACCTCTGGAATGGTTTAGCTTGGTTAGATGGGCTAAATAGGATGAAAAATCTTGTAACGTCATAGAAATGAAGCACACCGATTTTTATAACTTTAAACAACTTTTGGACGGGCGTAATTGGTCAAAAAATATAAGTGGAGACGTAGTTAAATGGAACAAAATAAAAGAAGTGCGGGTATGTGCAGAAGATCCTTAAAATTGAATATCGGTACGATTTGGCAAACAGTAATGCTATGACGATTGCCATTAATACCAATACCCGAAGACGCCAGAGAAATAGTAAGGCTGAGCTATGCCCCCTCTATTCCAACCATCTTCCCTTAACAAAGGCAAAATATGATGATGATTCTTAATGAGTCTCTGTCATAATGGAATTATTCCAGCCACATATCATGACTTTTTCAAGAGTCTATCTTTTGTTGCTGGCTCTCATAATGTTGAATTTTCTGATTCAGAATAGTACTTATAAAAGTCTTTTCTTTTTTTAAATCATTTAAATTTCTTTAAATTTCATCTTCGTTTTATCATTGTTTTTTTCAAAATAATAATAGTTTTCACAGTTCCAATAAAACCAAAAATTTGGTTTGTTTAATTAAAAATAACTCAACTGTTTTCAATTACTTATGTATAATTTCTAATAAAAAAAATATTCCTCTAAAGCCAAGGATAGTTACTATGCCAATAACTATAAATGGTTACATGATTTCTAGTTATCTTGATTTTAAGTTGATCTCATAGAAATTATTAAGTAAGTCATAATTATTTTTGTTATTTTATGATGATTTTTTATGATTCTATTTTCACAATCCTAAGAAGAGTTTGTTATGTTATTAAAATATAATAGAAAAAGTGTGCTATGTTTTCATTTATGTCCTTTTTATTTTGTTTCTAAATAACCTATGTTTGATAATATTATAAGCTGTTTTTTTTTTAATTCATTATTCTATTTTTATATCGGTGTTCTCTAAGATTTTAACAACTTCAGTGCCAACTCCGCATATTTGCGGGGGCGGGCTGAGCGCGGGGTGCCGACCCCGCAAATTAGCGGAGTAGCACCGCTCAGTTTGTATGCCTCAGTACGCATCCGGCACAGCTCTTGACAACACGTTTATAGGTTGGCACTGCGCTTGAATGTTGCAAAATTGTTGTGCAAGTTGTGGTTTTAAAAAATTTAATTTTAATTTGAAGAAATTAGCGTTCAATTATGAGTGATCAACCGGGTCCCTCGCGGCCGAAACGAAAGAAAATGGAGCCAGTTTATAAGATAACTGACAGTGATATTGAAGAGCAGCTTTTGGGCAACGACTCTGATGATGACTTCCAGCTTGAGGACATGTCATCAGATGATGATGAAGAGGAAATCGAGCGGCAAAATATTATGCAAATGGCGGCTATGGATTTACAATTAGCGTCGCAACGTACTCGTCGAAGGAGTCCGTCATTAGAAGCAATACAACAACCAGAAAGATTAGCACTACCTGAGGAAGGAGCTACTTCTTCATGGACAACGACATGTGAGCTAAAAAAAATTGATTTCACTAAACAAAATGAGTTCTTTGGCGCGCCTGACCCAACTCCAATCGCATTTTTCAATTTCTTCTTTGAAGATGATTTCCTTGCAATGATTTGTGAAAAAACTAATGCTCAAGCCAGAAAGTTATTTCTTTTCGGTGTTTCGGAATCATCAAGAATAACTAATTGGAAGGACGTGGACGTTCCTGAACTGAAAATATTCCTTGGCTTACTTTTCCACATGGGTTCTTTTCAGCTGCCCCGACTACAAGATTACTGGAAAAAGAGCCGGTTATTTTCAATACCTATTTTTGGTCAACAGATGAGTAGAAATAGATATTTCCTAATAATGAGATGTCTTCACTTCAGCTCAGAGACAGAGATAGTGAATGATGACCCACTGTACAAAATACGTAGTGTCGTTGATTATTTCAACCAAAAAATGAATACATGCTATTATCCTGGCAAAGAGCTGTCGTTGGATGAGAGCATGGTTCTGTGGAGAGGGCGACTGAGATTCAAGCAGTATGTAAAAAACAAGCGCCATAAGTATGGTATCAAACTATACATGTTGACTGAACCTGATGGTCTCATTTTGAAGTTTCGAGTATATGCTGGGAGCCAAGACCATGATGTTGCTGGAAAAGGGCACGCCGAAAAGGTTGTAATGCAATTGATGGAGGAGAAACTTCACAATGGACACTCATTATATATGGATAACTATTATAATAGTTTCCACTTGGCTAAACGTCTTTTACATAATAAGACTTACTGTAGTGGAACTTTAAGAAGGATTTGAAAGAAAATCCAAAGGATGTGGTTCAAAAAACGCTAAAAAAAAGGCGATAACATTTCAAGGTTTCGAGAATGTGTGCACATCGGAAAATGGAAAGATAAGCGCCCAGTGATGTACGTCACCACGGAATATGACGATATAAGGATACCAGTTGCTAATAAGCGTGGCCAAATTAATGAAAAACCTGAAACTATTGCCAAATATAATGAGTTTATGTCAGGAGTTGACCGACAAGACCAACTGCTTGCAATTTATCCGTGCGAAAGAAAAACTCTTCGCTGGTATCTCAAGTTAGCCATCCACACCTTTCAACTACTATTTATAAACTCTTATAAAATGTACAACAAATATTCTGGAAAACCTAAAATGACACTCTACGATTATCGCTTAGCTGTGATAAATGAGCTTTTACCTGAAAAAAATACTGCAGTGTCTGTTCCAACCGGCCCAAGCAGAGCGAAAACGAGCAGAGAAGTGCCACACAAAATCAGTAAAATAACTGAGAGAAATTCCAAAGGAAACATCAAGCGCAAGATGTGCCGCATGTGCTCAAAATCTCAAAAAATACGGAGAGACTCTATGTGGCATTGCGAAACTTGCATTGACAAACCTGGTCTGTGCTTTGAGTGTTTTGACGAATTCCATTTGTCCATCTAGACTTTATTTTATTTTGACATCATAGCTGTGGATTATATTACAGCTCTGTTTATAATCTCATTAGGATATTTTTAGAATTTTTATTTTGTGTTAGAAGCTGAAGAAGAAGTTTTTTTGTTCAACTGTTTTTTTTTACTGTGTTTAATTTTTACTGTATTTTTGTAAGCTTACTATGTGAAAAATTAGTTATTGTTCTCAAGAGTATTAGAATTAAGAAAAAGGACATTAATGTCGTGTCCAAATGACATAAATATACGATTATACATAAAATAAGCCACTCCGCTAAATTGCGGGCCCGGCACTAGAATAGAAAATTTCAACCCCAGTGCCGGGCCCGCATATTTGCGGGAATATTAATTTTGTTTTTTCTTCATAGTAAAACATGATAATAATAGTCAAACATTTATTGAAATATTCTTTAGGTATGTGCCGAACGCATATTATAAAAAAAACAATTTGGATTTTCTCAAACCACCCCCATAGTCAGGCCGGCAGCGAAGCTGTTAATGCCAATTTATAAATATTAGGTAAGTACTTTTATTGCAATGTTTATAGAAATGTTCCTAAAAATATAATAATAGTAAGTGTTTGTGTTGTTCCTATTAAAAAATAAAGAAATTTATCCTTGACAATATGTCTTTTTATTTTTTAACCTAGTATTTGTTTACATATATTAATACAAACCTAATATTTTAACCGATGTAAATTGTTATTGCCACATACAGTGGAATGAGACTTATATTTTTCAATGTATATTGTTGCAACTATTATATACAACAACTGACGAAATCTAAACTCCGCGGTATAATATTGTAAGTATGAGATACGACAAATGTCGCAGCCTGTACTCCGCAGTAAAATGTTGTATGAACAATATCTCAGAAAATATACATTTTTTTTAATTTATCTTTCAACTTTAATTAAGAATACTATAAATTACATTCATATACCAAATTTCACAAAAATACAATCATAAATGCAGTTTTTGGACCAATTTGAATCTTTCAAAATGCTCTATTGTAAAATTGCAGTTTTGGGGATACATATAACTTACGTGGGAGGTATCGATATGCATAATCACAAGGATGGTCTTATAGTCAAACAATTCATGAAGACCCATATAAACGACAGAGACAACAGTGTTAATATGTGATTGGTATAATTACTGTCGAGAGGTAGTCGTCATATACCATCTGGAGAAACAAAATCTGTTTTCTGGAAAGATTGGTGGCCCTGGAAAAATTGTACAAATTGATGAGAGCAAATTTGGAAAACGCAAATACAATAAAGGTAAATATAAGTAGGATTGTGTTTTCACCTTTGTTTTTGTAATATAAATCTCTAAAATTAATTTTATTTGTTATAGGACGTCATATCGAAGGCCACTGGGTGCTCGGTATGATAGATGGGTCTGAGGATCTCAGACTAGAGGTGTGCCCAGACAATATCAGAACTGCTGAGGTGCTGGTGCCGCTTATACAAAAACATGTGGCAGCGGGTACCACCATTCATACCGATTGTTGGCGGGCGTATGATTGCTTGGCAGAACACGGGTACACCCATAAAAGAGTTAATCAGTCAGACCCAGACAATCCATTTGTGGCTGAAGATGGGACTCATACACAGCGAATTGAGGCACAGTGGAGAGCAGTGAAGAGGTTTTTTAAAAAACAAAACTATAACAATTCCCAAAATTTTGCAGACTATAAAAAGGATCCGTTTAAAGAAATTATGCAAGCAATAAAGCATGTGTATAAAGTAAATTAAATAATTAGAACGAGAATTACATTTTTTCATTTACCACTATCATAGCAGAGTTTAGTTATCTGACTTTATAGATACCACTGTTTGAATCGGTTCTAAAACCGAATTAGCACACCCCGACTCCACATAGTCTTGTCTATCCTACCCCTAGAGTGTTTTTGTAAAGCCGTAGGCACGGAGGGAGAGCAGCCTTCGCCCGCTGTTGCTGCTCGCCTCCGCAGCTTTGGCTTATTGGTCGCCTTCGGCGATAAGCCTCAACCACTATGGCTCACTTAGGTGCCTGTGATTTGCTACGCAAGGGCGAAGGGGTTGCACTTCCCGCAGTGCCGAAGCCATTGCAGAAGTAACTTTGTGTCAATATTCCTGTATAAAAATGAGGTTTTGATTTTACAAAAAAAATTGTTACTAATAAACTACACATTTTCGCAACGGGGGAAGGGGTTGGGGGGGGCTTCCCATGACCCCTCCCCCCATTCCAACACCGTACGGCCGTTGCAGAAGTTACTTTTTGTCAATATTCCTGTATAAAAAAAGTGAGATTATAATTTTACAAAAAAAATTATTTCTCATAAACTATACATTTCCGCAACAGGGGAATGGTAGGGGGGTTTACCATGACCATACCATGAGTTTAACCAAAAAACCAGCCAAACTTACACTTTTGGGCTAAGCTTTCCATTGACGTCCGTCGAGTTGGGGGTTGATATTTTTTTTACAGAAGGATGACATGAATATAAGCACACACGCAAAGTTTCAACATGCGGAAACGCGTAGTTTTTGAGAAAAAAATAATCGAAAATCAATAATTTTTGCAATATTTGTCAATTCCTACCATAGATTATATACATATTATTACAGATATATTACGCCATTGAATGTTCCGTTTTAAGTACGGTTAACTTGTCATATGTTGGGTAACATTTCATTTTATATAAATTTACGTAAATAATTATATTTTGTATCCATTTTAATAGTTTTCATGCATGCATATATATTTAACAGTTTATATTTAAATAACAGAATTATTTTCATTACGAGCTATTAAAATTAAAATGTGCAGTGTTTACGGTCTTTTCCCGGCTTGTGGAACGAAATATAAAACTGACGCTATTTTGTGTTGTCAGTGTCATCCTCAGTCATTGTTTGTGTCCCTAGCAGTTGAGATCGTTTACGTACTCCTGTCATTGAAAACAACGTTTGACTACCACCATGGCGTCTCCGAAGCCCCAAGTTTCGTGTTCTGCTGTGCCGTCTGAAGAATTCAGTGTAGTGCAGGTGTTAGACTCTAATGAGCCACTTGTTGCGAGCTCCTCATCAGGCCCCCCCGTGTGGTGAAGTGCCGTCTGTAGAATTGAGTGTAGTGAAAGTGTTCGACTCTTATGAGCCACTTGTTGAGAGCTCTTCTGCAGGCCCCCCGTGTGTGCAAGTGTTGGACTCTAGTGAGCCACTTGTGCCCATGACTGTGCTATCGATACCAATAGCTGGTAGTTCCCGCGCCACTCTTCCCAGTACCGTGTCGGTACTGCCGCCTGCGTCTCCAGCGTCGTCTGAGAGCAGCGTTGCTGATGCGGAACCTTGAGCTCCTGGTTCGTCTGGCCGAAGAGTCCACTACTATGCCGAGGAAATAAGGTTGGTTCACTGTGGTTTCGGCTTGGATTTACAATTCGGTCGCCTGAATTTGAAGATTTTGTTACTGTGGGGGGGTCAAGGGTGTTTATCTGAAGCACCCTCACTCGATTTTTGCTGCCAGAGCAGCGTCGAAGTATTTTTTAATATTTTGTAAAAATATTGGTAAATGACTAATTAATTACGTTTTTGACGTTTCATCTGTCAATGTAATATCGATATATAGTACTGAAACGATCTAGTGAATCGATATTTCACCCTAGAGAATCGAGATCGAATCTTTTTCTGTTTTATTAAGATTTGTAAAATGATTTAAAATTAGTTGAATGTACCCTAACTCGTAAAGAATGACAGTTTTTAATTCAACCATTCAATGTCATCTGTACTTTGTTGTATCTTTTGATATTGTAAATATAAACTTTTAACGCAAATCAAAAAAAGATCGACTTTTGCGATTTTTTTGTGAATCAATTCATCCAATTTCGATTTGAATCGATTTAAAAATGTGTAAAATGGGATTTTGTTGACAGCTTTTCGTCATGCCGTTGCTTCAGAGTTTCATAATTTTGGTGAATAGTGGAATATTTGTGGCGGCGGAATACTGCTAAATATCGCAAAGATCCTTTCTTACAAATAGTGGCAGCCATAAATTATGTTTATAAATTAAAGTAATTATAAAAGTATATTTTGGTGTTATATTGGGTGTAATAGCGAGCGAAGCGAGCCTAGGACGTGAGGCACCCTGACTCGGACAGGTTAAGTTAGAAGGAGATGACGGGGTCAAGTGAGCGAGCGAAGCGAGCGAATAGACCTCGTCATCCCCTTCGATGGTTGTTTTTTTGTAAACCACTCAGAAGCAGGAGCCCCGCGAAGCCGGGCTCCGGTGACTGAGGTGACTCTACAACTCTCCCTCCCCCCCACACCACCCCCCCACCCCCTAATTCAGGCGACCGAATTGTAAACCTTACCCGTGGTTTCTTATATAGCACATATGTAAACTTCACAGAAAAAGCTGACGAGTAAAGCAGTAATTAGATTTCTAATAGGAATATTTTTGCTTGTTTTAGGTGCCACTGGAATATGTATAAAATCATAACCCGGCTCAACACCCCAGCTCAGTGCATTGCATTTGCTGAAGAGCATAGCCTCCTTCCTACAGAAAAAATGTGCTCATATCATAGGAGACCTATGGCGTTAAGCTCCAGCAGTAAGACTGGTCAGCTTGGCATATTTCGATGCAGGAAGAGTAACTGTCACTCTAAGGCAGTCAGTCGGGCAGCGGGAACATGGTTCGAGAATGTGCGGCGTCCATCGAGTTACAATTTTTACTGATGTGTATGTTCAGCCAAAAATATAGTTATCATCAAGTTAAATTAGAAACAGCCCGTGAAGATAAAGAAACAATTGTATCAACAAGGTCTATAACTGACTGGTTTTCTTACTGCCGAGAGACAGTAATTGTTTATGAAATGGAGCACCAAGAAGTTAACGGCAAGATTGGTGGTCCAGGCAAAATCATGCAAATAGACGAATCAAAATTTGGAAAACGAAAGTACAACAGAGGGAGACACATTGAAGGCGATTGGATGCTGGGCATGATAGAAAATGGG